CTAGGGGTAATCGAACGGTTAATTTTACCTGCCTCTCGTCATGATCAGAACGGTAGCACAGATGAACGGTGGGCAGAGCTATTAGATTTTCCAGTCGTCCCTGACACTTGAGCATTTCTCTCTTTTATTCTCTTCGTTCCCTTCTGCTAGTGGTATATTGTCCAAAATAGAAATAAATAAATAATAGGAAAAAAATAATTTTAAAAAAAAGCAGCAGCAGCGGCTGTATCTGCACATCTCGCGATACTGCTGCCATCTTCTCATTCCCTTTGAGATCGTCGCTCGACTGTTACACTGAATCGCTTCCTTGTGATTGTCTCTCTCTCTCTCTCTCTATATTCACTTATCTAATCTCGGTCATTTTGTATGTGTTCTTTCTTTCTTTTCAACTGCGACTGTTAAATTTTTGGTACATCTTGCTTGGAAAACGAATCAGTGCCTTGCTCTTCGCGCCGTATGTTAAATCGAGGTAGAATAATTAGATAATTCTTTGCTTCTTGTGTTTGTAGGTTTTCGCGGAAGAAAGGTATTAAGGGAAGAATTTGGATATGGTGCGTTACTTTTCGAAATTGCAGGATTTCAGATTTCTATTTTTAGAATTTAAAATAGATACTGAAATTAGTATTGCTAAATTTTCCAGTCCGCGCTCTTCAATTTCCACTCTTTTCTTACGGTAGTGCTGCTGGGGATTTGTACTTGCACTTATGTAAAGATGCATTTTCCAGCTCTTCTTGAACAGAGGACTGGGTAAGTCTTCTTAGCTTCAACGATTTTATCCAATCTAAAATTGCTTATTAATGTTTATTTTGTTTGCTTAGTTTCAAATCACAAAATTTTTTAGTCAGTGAAATATTTGGTTAAAGTTTGTTTCTTTTTTGGCTGAGCCAGGCACTATTTCATGATTTCTGTACTTCATAGTTAATATCAGTGCACTTTTTTGCATTCTTTTTGAAAAGGTTCGACATCGCATTTTGACATGCGGATAGTGAATGCCTGATTACAAGTTTTGCTGTTAGGATGACAAGATATGAAATTTCTGATGCGTGATGTATGACGCGTGGACGATGGAACTCATAGAATGGTTACACAAGGAGATGTTTGAAAAGACTTTCGTTAATAAGAAATCAATACTTGGTATAGTTTCTATAATCTTTCCTTTGTTAATGGTAGAGAATATGCTTTTCTATAGGGTCGTCAAATGGATGTGCATATGTTCAATAGTTCCATGGAAAAGCTTTTGGAAAATGTAATATATAGCAGTTTTTTTTGGATAAATTCACTTATAGCAGAGTGTTCTTTCATATTCATTGGAGTGATTCTAGTTCATATGCCAAGACATAAAATTTACATATTATTTGTATTATTTGTCTTGCATACGGTGCTTCTTGTTTTCTGGAAAAAACAATGTGCCTACAAATGCATGTATCTTTGCCATCTTTGTGCTTGCATCACAGATTGTGGGAGAACTAATCAGCTTTGCTTATGAACATTTCTAAGGGACTAAGAGATTGTGGGTTCTGCCTCTGGCGGAAGTTGTCTTGTTTGAATATTTGATGGACAATATTTGTGCGTGTACAATTGAAGCCAGTGGGTTCCATGAAAGAAATTACTTTTAACAGAATGGTGCATGTATTTCACAGCATGGATACATAGATCAGTGTGTAATTGCTGTGTGTAATGTTTTGGGATTGAAAAATGTGTCGAATATCTTTACTACGTCATTTATCTTCTTCCTTTGGATCTCATGATTACAGCAATTCAGTCATGTCATCATATTCATTTAATGTTAATGAACGTACTGATGTTGTGTTACTATTCCAGGTTTCGGGGCTTCTTTTGGAAGGCTGCCAGAATAGGTGAGTGACACCATTGCAAGCATGGTATTGCTATTGGAAATAGTTGTTGGCAAATCTATGTTTCATATAATTCATGTGGTCTTGTAGTTGCTATAAACTAGAATGCCTGCTTTTATTGTGAAATGGAGTATTTGAAATACAAAGAAATCAGCTAGACAGTAATTAGAGTGGCGACAATAAATTTATGGTTACAATTTGCATAGAATAAATGCATTGCCTTGTAATTAGAGTTGCTTGGTGTTCACAAGGTTTTTAGGAATGTTACTTTTCCATCTGCTTCTCATGCTGTTCTACATTCAATCAATCAGAAATTAATAAAGTCCCCTGTGGTCCTAATTGAGCTAAATCTATTGTGGCATACAAAATTCAACATTCAGACTAGTATGGTCACTATTTCTTCTTTGCAAGCATAAAAATACATTTGACTTGGTACTTTCTCAGAATGACTCAAGTATCTTGTGGATATGTTTCTGTTTCCCCCATTGTTTGTCTCCCCTTCCATCCCACAACCCCCAGGCCGCTACATGCACAGGAAAACAGGAGAAAAAAGAGGGGGTGGGGGTGGGGTTGTGTTTAGTTAGATTCCTTCACGATTGTCTATTAGAGGTTCATTGCTGACTTATCATCTTTGCCATTAATTATCACGGTACATACTGGGTTGCCTTGAAAACTCTCAAGATGATTTTTACCACTATGCTTTGTCTTGCAGGTGAGCGCTTGAGCCCTTGGGTAGCAGTTGGATGCTTCATGATGGGAGTATCAATAATATTCTTCTGACACAGAAATGATTGCTGACTCCAAAGTGATCGTAGAGCAGTCTCACCCTTCAGAATTAGTATTCTTAAATGCTTTGTACTATTGAATTTTTGAGAAATTCTGTATTTCCTTTCGTACAGGTGTGAAGTCTTTGTTTCTCAAATTTGTTTGTTAATGTGATAGGAGTTGATTGTTTACTCGCTATATTCTGAGGCTAAAGAAAATTTTATATTCCTTCTCATGTTACCCATATTCTTGTAGTAAGTTAATTTTCATGTTTCCGACTCATAGAAAGGTTTCTTATAATGCTGTTCTTTCAAAAGACGTTTAGGATGGCTTACGAGTATTGTTTTTTTTTTTTGTTTTTGTTTTGGGAACTTATATTATCGGGTTGAATGATTATCCATGCTTGCCGTTTGTACGCTTCAGCAGCTGAAAATCACATCCCCCAAAAATGAATTTCACTTTTGGGTTGCTTTTGGTTGAACAAATCCGGGGGGTTGAGTCGAGTGAAACCTAGTGGATTAGCTAGTGTCCGCTCGGATGCAAAAATAACCATGCTATTGTGGTTCTCCAAAGATTCAGCAAAGTATATTTGTCTAAATTGACGTGGGTATTTTGGGGATGTTTTTTAAAAAATTTACTGTAACTTTTTTTCAAATACAGATGATTTCGTTTGGATAGGATAGGCAGTTTGTGAAAAATTCATTGTTTTCAAAAACTTCTGCGTTTAGATTGATCTGTATTTCATAAATAACTACACTTTCATATCGGCATAAAATGCATTCGCCGGTAAACTTGTGTCTACCCAACATGCCATATGGAAATTGGCGTTATAGCTCTCGGCAAAAATGATTGGATGATATTGGCCTAAACAATGCAATCTTGCATGTATAAATATACCCTTGTTTGGCCATGGCATGCTCAGTATGCAAATAACAATAATATGTAAAGAATAGATAGACAGTGGGTTTATCATTCATAAATTTAAATGAAGTGGTATCGTAACAATAGAGTATTGCCGCCGATTTTCGTTCTAGTTAGTAGTTATGTATGCCCCGCTGCGACGTATCGAAATTTTGACTGCCCTGAACGAAGTCCCCTGGATCCCCGGCATCTGCTAAGGCACCGAGCGCTACTTCTTCATTGAAGAACATATCATTGGGTACGTTGTCTCGGATGAAGTAAACACGCTGAGCATTTTGAAAAACACGCTGAAGCAAACAAATGGAACCACACAAAAAACAAAAACACGCTGAGCATTTTGAAAAACAAGCTGCCGGAGAGTATATCCATGAGAAACACCTAATCACCACCAATCGCACAGAATAGAAGCAGCAACAATAACAATTAAAGTTCAATTACTCAAATGCGATTAGCTACGTAAATGGTACTGATGCCATAAACCCAAGTTGACAAGATTTATCTGCGTTCCAGTTATCAAAATACACCAATTGTTCATAGCTTAGCTGCAGGAATTGTAATAGAAAGCCAAAATTTCCAAGTTAAAAATTCAGCCCTAATTCGTACGGAAGTGTACCAAATTCATTATTTACCTCCAATAAAAAAAATGGGGATCTGCTAAACAAAGCGCACCTCTCTGCCAATTTCTATAGCACAAAGCCAATTAAATGAGCTTATTGGAAGCACAGCGAGAGGAAGAAGACCACCTGCCCCCTGCGCAAGCCGTGTGTCCGATTTTCTTGTAGCTACCTGGAACAGAACAGCTCACTGAAGGTGTCTCCGTTGAAGCTAACGAGAGTAAGCTTCGGGCAAGTTTTTTAATGGCAGCTGCCCAAAATTACCACAAGCAGCTTTGGAACGAAAAAAGTAGGACGAATTTGCTCGGGAAGAAAAGCTTTCAGATGTCGACAGGTAGGTTCCACATATGAGCACCTGCAAGTTGAAATTCGGTTTGAGGAAAAGGAATGAAGAGTTCCGTAGAAACAGCAATGGTTTTCTTACTTCCGAGCCAAAACAATAATATCGTACCCCAAAACCACCACTGTAGACATTTCAAAACAATGCGTTGACTAACGAGTTGTTTTTTGACTACATATACTACTAGTAGTTTTTTACTACAATTTTTCAACTAGTCAAAAAACTGCCCAATCGAAACAGACCCTATATGTTTTTTAGTAACAATTATACCACCAAAAAAAAAAAAAACTGAGAGATCACCTGAGACAGCTCGGCCCAGTCCAAGTCTACTGTCCTGGTCTTTAACATCCGTGGCCCAAAGTTTGAGGATTTTCATAGCTATAGCCCAGGATCAAGGCAGGTTTATAGGTTTCAGATATGGACTTTAAGATACATCAACCCAGATTTTCAATAACACTACGGGCCTTGTCCCAGTCCAAGTCCACCGTCCTGCTTCTTGTGCATCAGTCGCAGGCGCACTCTGCGCAAAACCTCCCCAGAAATCAGAATCAGCAATAAACCCACACCGGAAAATGGCCGGCAGTTCAACGCGAAGCAGCACTCGGAGTAGAGGCAAGCCCTCCGCAGACGCCGTTGGTGATGAGTCAGTCCACAGAGTAAGTACGAACGCTAGACCTCGAAGTTATAGAGGCAGAGACCAAAGCCTCATTCGAATTACAAACGTGAGCAGCAAAGTTTTCCTTGGGTTTGGAATCCTGTTCTCCTCGATCGCCCTCTTTTTCATTTTCCGATTGGTAAATACTAATGAAGAGCCGGAAAAGCCCAGGGTTATCACGCCATTTCCCGCTCCCAAACTCATGGAACTTCCCATGGTGAATATTTGTTCTTTAATTTAGTATAATTTCAGTTTTCCACTTTGTTTTATGTATCCTAATAAATTAAATTCAGCTACGAGGATGATTTTTCCTTTTTCCTGGCAGTTTCAAGGGGAGCACAAGGAGAGCTTGTATTGGGGAACCTATAGACCTAACGTTTATTTTGGGATTCGTGCACGGTATCGACTCCTTCTCACATTCTGCTCTGGAATGTCAAGAAAAATTGCTGCTTTTGGCGTGCAATTTTATGTGGTAGAATGAAAAGTAGGGTCTAAAGGAATCTAATCGAGCCAAATGCTGTTGTTTTCGAAGGCCAGCTTGATTACCTTCATTTATTAATATGTATAACGTCTAGTTGACTCATGGAACTGAGCTCAAGCTGAGTTCTAGACCTTAAAAAGAACACTGCAGACTTGGTTTGATCCTTCGATGTTTTAGTCTCAGTGAGCACTTATCGAGCTGGGCTTAGTTCATATATTGAGTATCTTGGTTCATCTTTCAGCCTCAATGGAACCAGAAGGACTCCCCAATATGTTGTATAGTTTTTCTGATGGAATTCTAGTGTGCCTTATGATGCTTTATGAAACATGCACAGTGTGGACTGGGATTGACATAATCATGTACTTTTTGGTGTTTATTGGTAGGACCCCACAGTCTTTGATTGCTGGTTTGATGTGGATTGGTATTACGAATGGAAGGTATGCCATGCGACACATCTGCCAAGATTCAGATGAGCTTAGGACATATGGATGGACAGAGCATAATGGACGGGATTATGGACATCAAATTTTGGTTGACCAAGATATGACCTTGAAAACAAGTTTCCTCAAGTCCAAGGAGCATGGGAGCAGCTATGGTGGAGACTGGGCTGTCCGAATTGAAGTGGAAAATGATGAGTAATCCCCGTTAACTTAAATTTTATGGCCACTTTCTTAAAACCAAAAGGCAGTTGGTTGCTTTTAGTGTATAAGCCTAGAAACTGAAAGTCTTCCCAAATGCTATTCTTTCAAAAGTAAGTATTGGATGGAATTTTATTGACGTGAATGTGTCACTTAATTGTCTAGTAATTTCTCTGTACACTCTTTGATCAATATTTTATTGTTATCATGTAAAATCTTGAATTCGTCTGATTGCGTTTTTGCGAGTCTCCTTTCTCTCATTAAGCAACTGCTGAACCAGTTATATTGTTAATATTTATGTGAGAATGTCTTTGCTTGTTGGATGCATGCTTAACTTTGATGCTGAGGAACATATAATATAGTGGGTGCATCTGGAATGTTGAGCATGAAACTACTTAGTGCAAAACTTTCTTTTGGAGGTTATCACATTTGTCAAGGACATGCTCTAGACCTCAGAAAACAAAACTTGCTGAAATTACTTCTCATTGCTAATAAGCTATAGCATCTTAGATGCTATGCTCATCTTTCATGTCCTGTGATTTCTTTCTTCTCTAACAGCTTTGAAATTGTTGACAGAGTAAACCTTAGTGAGGAAATGTCAAAAACTGTGCATCTGTTCTTCTATATGGATGATGAAAGTGGAAATGCACTAAATTTGGGTAGCAGAGCCACAGATGTAGATGATGAATCTATCCTAGCATCTGGATATCGGAGTGATGTTGGCAATTGGCAGCTACTTTTAAGTACTGAGGTATGATACTGAAAAATTAATATAAATCTTAATTGATAAAAAACTTCTAGTATTTTCACATCTTTTAAGTTACAGTATGATGCCACATGGAATGTTTGCTGGTGTCCAGAATAGGAGGATTACAGTGCACATAAATTTTATTGAAGCTATGGGATAGTTTTTCAGTTGTGTCCAGGATTTCTGTATCTCACTGTGAGTGTGTTTGTTCGCTTTTTTTTTTGTTTTTTTTGCAGGATGAATTTGAATTTCACTATTCTGGGTTCAAGACACCTTTTGTCCATAATTTATCTGATCTTGTCCAATCAAATCTTGGGATCCAAGTACATGAGTTTGTCCTCCCTAGTTTTCTGTCTCGGCCTTGTTAATAGCTTTGATGCAAGAATGCTTGTAGTGACTTTTACAGCATTTGGTGGCTTTTGCACCGCTGTTGAGTATGATATGTAACTCCTCTGCCTTTCTTAAAGTTGTTTTTGTCTACTTTTCAGGCAAGGAAGGTGGGTCGCTTGCAGCTTTCAGATACATCAGAAGGGTCATCAAACATCTTAGTGTTTCAGGTTTATTTCAGCAATCTCATGAGCTCCTGCTTCTTCAGTCTGTCAAATAAGACTTCAGCTCAAGTCTCTCTTTGTATTTGCAATTTTAGTAACGACTTTTGTGTATTCAGCTCTCTGGTAGGATACCTTTCAAGGCAGATATCATTTTCCAGTCTGGAACTCTTGCGCAAAAAGAGCGTGCCATCAGTCTTGCAGGTGCCTTCCGCTGTCGACCTTTTATTATCTGCACTTCAAAAGAAAAAGAAGTGTTCTTGGATAATATATAGAAAAAATATGGTGCTGAAATTTGCATAATCTGAGTGAAGTATGGGATACCTTCAAGGAAGGTATTCAGGCAAAACTGATGAATTTGATCTTGAGCAATTATTTACTGTTCTTAAGTTTGTTAACTTAAATCTGGTTAACAACACAAACTTTAGATGCTTTATGTCCTCTCCCTGTTCAGGGTGGTTGTTAAGCTTAGCTTAACCTGAACATTTAAATCTTTGCCGACTCCTTCCTTACTCTTTGTAGGTGCCTCATTGACCAATAAATTGAGTGAGAAGCAAAAAGACTATGCTGACAAATTCGAAAGGTGCTTCAATCTTGGTGATGAGGTAACGACCAGTTTATCCTTGGGCTTCATAATCTTTTGAACTTAGATGAGTACTTAATCTCTTTTAGACCAGTTTCCAAGCATGATAATGTGGGCTACAACGGCCCTATCCTACATATTCTATCCTTGACTTCTCATCTTAGATTATTCTATGCATTACATGAAATGTATGCTGCAGGATTACTTAGAGTTGCTAGCTAGTGGGGTTAGATAAAACTTGTGCTTTGGCATGTCAATCACTGTAATCATCTTTTAGAAATAAAATACAGATGATGTAGGATGTGAACTATCATTTCATAGAGATTCATTCAATAAAATGCGAAGTCATTGGCTGTATTCTCTTCCACAGAGTTTATTGATGCCAAATTATATGCATGTGTATATCAATGTTCAAATCATGCTTCCAAGGCCATCAATGTAGTTATTGGATGATTGTACAGCCAGTGTGCAGTGTGATACAACAAATTCATCTGAGCCATTTCAACTAAGAAAATTGTAAGTTCACAAATCATTTTGGGTGCTAAGATTGTCTACGCCAAAGGATTATTGGCTCTATGTGACTATTTTTGCAGTTGAAATGAGTCATCCTTCATGTTGTCCTTTTTCAGTTTGAAAGCAATAATGCATTTCTTGAAGTGTTTCTGAAACTTTCATTTGGTCTCCTCAGCTTGATTCTGGATCTGTGACAGTGGGTAAGGCTGCACTTGCCAATCTGCTTGGTGGTATAGGGTACTTTTACGGGCAGTCACAAATTGCACTCCCAAATCGCCCTGATGTAAGTTGCTCTATTTATTATCCTTAATGTGGTTCCGATGTCCTTTTGAGGCTTTACATTATTGTGAATCTTATTGTCTTTGTGAGTATTGTACTGCTTACAAGCTCTGCTTACTGTAAAGTAAAAAATAGAAATTTTATATATTCTGCTCATGGATCTTAAAAAATAGAAATTTTATACAGAAATTTTACTCTAACTGCCTCTGGTTGCTTAACAAGATTTGCTGAAATCAATGTATATGTCTAATTCTGTTCACTCTTTACCATTTATTTGATTTAAACACTAGTTTGCATCGTTTCTCATGCTTGCTTCACATTTTATGACTTGACAAGTTTACAACTCCAAAGGGGGAAAAAAGGGTTTATGACTCAAGGAAGGTTCAAATTAATGAGATTACATCTTCAACTTTTTGAATTATGCATAATCCATTTTGGATGGATCAAATAATTCTTGCCGGTAGCTAAATATAGTTGCTGAGTACTTGCTGCAATCCATGTGAACTGTGAGATCCTGTAAAAGTGAATTTGCACTAAGCTTGATGGGGCAGTGGTTAGGGGTATACATGTTTGTTTTCTTCTTCTCTGCTTTGTAAAAACCTATTGCATCCAGAAGCAATTATATTCTCTAGTCTCACTTGTATGCTCTCTTTGTTTGATCACCAGTAAATCTACACAATCATTAACTTGTTCCACTGCCAGTAAATCTACACAAGCATTAATTTGTTCCACTGAATTTGATTGTTGTCAATGTCATGCTGTATGCATCTGAAAATTTCTGGAAGAGTCAGTTTTAAACCACCATAATGTAAGACAGACTAGCATAGCGTGATTCTGTCTTGTATTTTGCTAATAACAGCATAGATGGACAATCATCTAATGTAAGACATGAGTTTTGTGACTACCCATTGTACTTTGATGCATCTAGTGCATGGACTGTTAGAATTACTACAAACAGTCACTTAAAGTATTAGAAAGAAAAGAAACAAAAGCAAATGAAATACTAGATACTATTTTGATGTGCTCTTATTCTAGATTTCCATCCAAAAATTTTTATTTTGTAGTTAAATCATATGTGCTATGCATTTGGGTTGTTATTTTAAGTTTTGGAGTTTGACTGAAATGTTTAGCATTTCTGTGGTAAATTATTACCACTGGGGCTTTTGACAAAGTAACGGTGGGCTATGTTCTGATGCAGAAAAAGCATGGTGATGACGTTATTTCATATTGGCCAGCTGAGCTCTATACAGCAGTTCCAAGTCGTCCCTTTTTCCCCAGGGGATTTTTGTGGGATGAGGGTTTCCATCAGCTACTGATCTGGTAGGTGGTTTTCTGCAGCTTTAAGTTAGTTCTGTCTTTAGTCAGATGGATCCTTATTTAGTTTAGAAGGTCAGCATAGTTTAGAAGATCAGTATAGTTTTTGGTATTCTAATATTTCATTTCTTCTTAACAATGATCAGGCGTTGGGATATCCATATTTGCTTGGATATTATCGGACACTGGCTAGACCTAATGAATATTGATGGATGGATTCCACGTGAGCAAATTTTAGGTGCTGAAGCTTTAAGGTGATAAATACAGTCTTCTTCTGATATGCTTAGTTATCATTTCAGATCTCATATACTGTTGATCTCTCTTTGACAAGCTATTTATTTGAATTGGCAGTAAGGTCCCAGAGGAATTTGTTACCCAGCATCCAACAAATGGGAATCCTCCAACATTGTTCCTAGTTTTACGCGGTAAACTTATCTTTCAATAATTTCTAGTCTTTTTAAGTGCTTTAAGAATTGGGCTGCTCAGTTTGCTTATTTGGTTTGTGCTGAATTTTGGTCAGAATACAATCACATTGAGCAAAGTTATAGTGCTTGCATATATTTTTTGAATGGTCTATTTACAATAAACGGAAATTTTTTTCACTGAATGGAGTTAAAAGAAGGTGATGTTTGTAGATCATCGTGGATCTGGTTCAGTGATAAGCAAAGAAAAACTTATGATTTATTCCATGTTGTGTTACAGATTAATCTTTTAATAGATCATCATATGTGCCAGAAGCATGATTTTAATGTTTATGTATGAAGGCTTGGCTTGCTTTATGCAGACCTTATTTGCAGCATTAAGGCCAAGAAGTTTGCTGCTGGTGAGAGGAAAGAGATATCAATCTTCTTTGATCAAGCATTTGTCCGTCTTGAAGGATGGTTTAAATGGTTCAATACCACACAATCGGGTAAATACCATTATCTTCCTTGATTCCCATCATTTAAACTGTGAGATAATGTATTGCTTAGTTTACACAGCAACCTTGGAGTCTAAAGATCTTGGTGGTTAGTTTGCACAGCAACCTTGGAGTCTAAATATCTTGGTGGATAATTTAGTTACTTTGTTCCTCTAACTCAAAAAGATTGAATACTGGTATTAGGTATGCATTTCTATGTCAAAAATGAATGCATGTTAAGCTGAAATTGGCTATTTAAGGCTTAGTTTGTTAGTTACCTAAGCATTGTACGAGTCTGAAATCAATTTCTAAACTTCCATAGCTTTAATGTAATTGGTAGCTTCTATCATGTTTAAGCATCTTATGAGAAGTTCTACCTGCTGTATTTGCAGGAAAGGCTGTGAGCAGCTATTTTTGGCATGGAAGAGACAATAAAACTATTCGTGAATTAAATCCAAAGGTTTTGTGCCTGATTCATTATTAAACGGCTTAACTGTATCTGGATATGCACGCTTAGTTGCTTAATGTACTTGAATATTGCTTCATGGACATCCTAAGACACATATTACTGCAAACACGTGAAGTTATATGACGTCTGGCTGCTTATTCCACATCTTAATGAGTTTGAAATAAATACCTAAAAGGTTGTAAAATACAAATACAGTATCAGCGCAATAATTTGGAAGAAAGACACAATTCTAACTGCATTGTATTTTTAATACATATTGTGATTTTGAAAGAGATTAAAGGGGCTTCAATTTCAAATGGAGCTTCACATAAACAATCTATGCTTATTCTGGAGTAAAGTTTTTGCTGTTACTCTGCTGTTTATTCTCAGATCCACTTGTTCCATTCATGAACGTCCTTGTTAGAATAATTGAAAATTGTTTTACCTGTTACACCAGAATAATTAGATGTTTCTTTGCATTTCCAGACTCTATCTTCTGGACTAGATGATTATCCCCGTGCATCACACCCAAGTGAAGATGAACGCCACTTGGATATTAGATGTTGGATGCATCTTGCTGCAGATTGCTTGCATTCGATTTTAGAATTTCTTGAGAAGGAAAATGAACATGGAAAGGTACAAAATACACCATAATACTATTTTTGTATGCAAAGATTTCTCTGTAACATAATTCAAAGTCTATGATGAACTGAAACAGGAGTATAGGTCCACAGCTAAGCTGCTTTCTGATTTTCAGCTTTTAAATGAGGTCAGCTCTAATTTTTACTACAGACATGTTTCCTTGTAACTGGATATTAATCTCATTTTGGTCTATCCATCAAAAAACTATTGCGTTTATCTAGGTTTTGGATCTAAGGTTTGTCTACGTTCTGTCCAGATGCACTTTGATGATGCATATGGAGCTTATTTTGATTACGGGAATCATACAGAAAACGTAAGCTATCTTACGGTTTTGTGGAGTGATGACAGCAACTTTTTCTTGCATAAAGTTACTGATGCTTTATTTATCTTTTCCTTTATTTCTTTTTTCTTTTTTTTTGGAGGGGGGGGGGGGGTTGGTGGGGTGGTTGGATGAGTTGTCTACATGCTTCATGTCAATAAATGTTGAAAGCGTGTAAGAGGGGGATTCTTATGAAACCAAATTGCTTCCAAAAGGCTACCTGTTGACTTAATGTTGAAAAGGAATATTCTGTTACTGATGCATTATAAGAAACTAGTAAGGAATTGCCCTTCCAGGTTCGATTAAGTTGGCAAGTTGTGGAGACAGTTAACGGTCACCCAAGTAGAGAGCTTATTCGAGAAGTTTTAGAGAAACCCGTGTTGAGACTGGTTCCTCATGTTGGCTATGTCAGCCTTTTCCCACTGATGGAAAGGCTTATTCCACCTGTAAGTTACTATGACCTTCCTCTTTGCAACAACTTGTACTTTAAAATATTTCTTGTTACCATTCTCTTCACACTTGGTCAGCCTTTTTGTGTTATCTGGGATCAAATGATATACTCAATTGCAAGCAGGGATCCTGGATACTAGAAAAACAACTTGACCTCATTTCAAACAGAAGCACTTTATGGACAAACTTCGGGCTGAGGTCTCTTTCGAAAACGAGGTAAGGAGGGGATTCTCACCTATTAGTTTAACAGTCACTGGTTTTCATGCAACGAGGTACATATTTTTCAACTCATCGGCAAAGTGATTATATTGAGAAAATTGTACAACATTAATTGAAATACAAATAATCTGCCACAGCTCAATTTACATGAAACGAAATACCGAGCATGATCCACCATATTGGAGGGGGCCTATATGGATGAACATGAATTATAGGATTCTCTCTGCACTTCACTACTACTCCAGAGGTACAAATAAATGAGAAATTAACATTTTCTTCTGAAACTCTTTCTTATAAAGTTGATGCTGCCTTGGTTTGATCATTATAGAGGATGGACCATACAGACAACGTGCCAAGGCGATATATGATGATTTGAGGAACAACTTGATCAGGTATGGTGTGTGATTAGGCATTTAGGCACTCGCACATCCAAATGCGCAGATTGCAAAAGATACTTTTCTATCATCACGTAACCAATTTTTCTGTGGCAGAAAGTTCTGTTCTAATTTTTTTCTTTTTAAAGATGATTTTGCCACATATAGTATATGCTTACAGTGATTTCGAGCTCTCCTTTTTATCCTAGGAATGTGGTTAAAAACTACCATCAGACTGGTTACTTGTGGGAGCAGTATGATCAGCAGAAGGGAAAGGGAAAAGGTGCACGCGTGTTCACTGGTTGGACATCTTTGGTGGTATTGATCATGGCAGAAAAATACAATGAATGTTGAGAATATTCATAATTGCATTAATGTGAAAACCAAAAAACAAAAAACAAATTAATACGAAAACCCAAAACAGTGTCACCTGAAGGATCATCAAGTATTATCTGTGGTTCAATAACTGGAAGGGCAGCTTCTTGGTGGGGAGTTTTCATTGTTGTTCAAGGTTCAAAAGAAAGCCAAAGAGGAAAGCCAGCTAAGGTCCTATCCATTGTTATGTAATAGCTAAATTTGCAATTTTGGCTACAAAAGATGTAGCGACAAAACTGCAGACTGTTGCATTTGTATTATTACCATCTGTGCCAAAAAAACTCTCGTAGATTGGGAAAATAGGGTTAATAAAAATATTATTGTTATGAAACAACTAAATGAATTGATATGGATGTCCATTTCCTTCTCTTAGAAGGTCGGTACATGTATCTCTCCTAAGAGCATGTGGTACATTTTATGGAACAACTCAGTTTATGCACAAGCATTAAAGATAGCTCATGTATCATTAAGTTTGTTTTATCTGTAAATAAAGATCATCCAACGTCTCTCGTAACCTATCAACAATTGAGTGAATGAAAATATAATTCTCCTTACTGTTTACCTACTTTTCTCTACTCCACTTTCTTCTATATTTTGTTGTTTCGTTCGTATATAGTTCACAATATAAACCACTACATCAAATATATATTAAAATTAGTTTTAGAACGATTGTTTTTCAGTGTAGTCTATTTGAACTTCACTGACTGCAGTACTTCACGATAGCGACTACAAAATCCTGGTACTATAGGCATGTTCTAACCTACATCCATTACTGAGATACTGCGTACAATCTCAAAGTGAATAGACAAATTCCCATAATCTCACAGAGTGAAGGTATGCTTGGTTCTCAATCTCGTACTTTACATGATACAATTTGCCATCCAACAAGCACAGTTTGCTTGTCGAGTTGTACAACAAACCTTTGGTGTCGAGAACGAATTCTGTTACCGTAGTTTGCTGACCTTGATGAAAATGACATGCATATCCAGAGCACAAAAATCAAACTTCCGGCCGCTGATCTTTGTGAGCATAAATTGACCTGATCTATGAAGCATAAAATCATCAAATGAAGTCTCACGGGAGGGATATTTTCCAACAGCAATCAAGATAGAGGTGATTAAGATTCTAGCCTCTGATCCATCTAAATTTCCAGGTCAAAAAGCAAGGTAGAAGAGATGTGGCAGTAGGAATTCCCATAACTTGCTCATTGTTGCCAACAAAATTTATCCTAACAGGAGCAAAAGCTTTTAAACCAACAAACTGAAAATGAACAGCGAACACCTTAAATGTATGGCTAGTCTTCTGACATCTCTGTTTCCTCAGCCATGATGATCTCCACATCCCTCATATCTCTCTTTAAAACATTGCCAAGCCTAGCAATAGCCTCCGTCTGCTGTTGCAAGACCTGTGTCCAGAAAGGACAAAAGTAGCCTCTTTACAATTTTAGCATAATTTACATTGAATCATTCTTCACCATGAGTTATATGACTTGTTTTAGGCTGGGCGTGCATTCAGACATATTTTTGCTTGCTTCATGTAATTGTGTCCAAAAGTACGTGAGCCACAAGGGTGAGCATATAAAATTTGCAATAAATATCTGGGGGTGCAATGAAGGACAAAGCTTCAAATGATACACTGATCATTCTTTTTCCTGCATTTTATTGGGTTATTCCATCATTTAAACACGCATATCAATGAAAGTGATGTACCACCTCCATGTCAGCAATGCTGATTAAAATGAGATTTGACAATACCTCCTGCATGTCCAAAAGACTTTGCTCATGTATTTTAGTTGATCCAGGTATATACATAGATCTACCACCAAGGCCATTGGCTTGAACACGAGATAGAGTCAGTAGATTTTGAACCCTTCTAGAAAGTTCTGCTCCTGATCCTTTTAACTGTCAGAATTTACTAGTAAATACAAGCTCCATTACAAGCCACATCATAAAAATCTTACACAGATCAAAAGACCTGGATCAAGTACCTGTCGAGTTAATGAAGCCAACTTCTCCGCCAATTCAGCTTCTCCCTTCATCAAAGGTGATCGACACCCTTTGCCTTCCAATGCCTCTATAATTCGCATTACCTGTGTATCATATGAGACTATATTCTTTATCTGTTGCATAGCAAAGTCCAGTGTACATAGCTAGTGTATTGAACATTCTGTTTTCCTATGTTACTCGGACTCGGGTATAGGTGTCGGATTCGAGTATGTGTCTAAGTGTCTGATTCGTCAACCTTCTAAAATTAGGATACAGGGACACTTCTAAAGACTCAGACAAGAGAACGTGGGTACAGCAAAATTTCAAGTAAAAATAAGAATTATACAGTACAGCCAACATACAAGTCGTAGCTCACTAAGGATTGGAGAATTCTAAAGTAACCAACAAGCCATAGCTCAAAAGGATTCCAGTAGGACTCCAATGCAACAAGTCTTCTGCATCTATGAGTTTTCTCACCCAGTTCTTCTCCTCTTGCTTCGACATCAGACCTCACAAAAGTCAAAAGTGTCCAAAAATTTTTCATTGGACACATATCCCATACCAGCACCAGTGTCATGGCATGTCGACATGGGTACTTTGGGGTCTAAAACTTCATCTAGATGGTATTCCTTAATTGTTTCTTCTAAAACAAAGAGACATGAGTGAATATTACAGGATTATAACAAAATTAAATCTCCTAATCATTTATATTACTACTTGTATTGCAGCAGAAAATGCTTAACTATCAGATCAAAACACTAGCATCTTGGACAATATGATAAAAATGAAGTATAATGCCAGACATCTCACCCTTAAGAGGCGCCTCTGGAGACTCTGCTCCTTTTGTTGCATCCTCCGAATCCAAGGAAAAGTGTCTGCTTGGAAATGCCTTTGAAGCTGCATAAAGGCAGGTTAACAAACCTAGTACACTAACCACAAGTTTGGTATATCAAACCAAGAGAACAAGAGAGTACCATTTTTACATTGCTCTGTGTTATTCGCAATCTCTCAGAATCTGAGACTATAACTTCATCTTGTAGCTTATCCAAAGTTAAAGAAACACAATTCAAAAAAGAAAATAAATTCAGGTATCCCAAGCTACAATCAGATAATGTTGATAGAGAAAAGAAAGAACACGATTGCAAGGTATCCCAAAGACTAACATTTAATTACCATAAAGGTATGAAAAGAGGATTAACAAAATAAATTCTTGGTGAAGATACTGATAGATTGCTCGCTTTATTGCCCGCCAAGAAACAATATAATAGTGTTTGGATAGCTAAATTTTTCCACATAATATTTTGCTTGCATCATAACCACATTTTCCAACCCACCTTTTTATATTTTCAAATACCTTTTTATCTCACATACATCACATTATAATAAGTGCTATAATAATTATTCCAAATAATATTTCAAATGATACTCTATCCAAACACACATTATTTAACATGAGAAAGAGGCACTACTTATGCCATCTAGCGAATCTAATTATAGAGATTGGATACACAGAAATTTAATATTTAAAAAAAATTCTTCAAAGAATGCAGTTTTGGCACATCGAAATGAAACAAATGTGAGTTAGGAAGGCTTCAACAAAAAATTTTTTCCAAGCACTGAAGCCATCCTCATTTCAAGGAGGTAATGATCATCCATCTGGTACCTTGAGGCGCTGTGACAGATCTTTAAATCCCTGAACAAGGTGGGGCCAAAGTCGTTCTCGATCAGAACTCTCCATGCCTTCAAGTTTCCCTATGGCCTCTGCCCACATTATCTAACAAGCCAAACTAATTCACAAGATTTACTACAAAGTCTCAACATGTAAATAAAAGCAACAGAATCAGAAGTATAACTCAAACCACATTGAACTTACATCTGATACACCAGCAGGTTTCACCCTATATTGAGGTTCAGTCACGCTGAACAATAAATGCTGCAAAACCACAAACACATATTTTAAAAACTTCATAAACATAGAATGGAGAAAATTTTGGGAAAACCAAGAAAAGACGCTGTCTAATCATTTTTTTTCTAAGAATGAGAGACGAATACATTTCATCTGCAGCTTATTCTTGCCACCAATTTGTTCCAAATTGCAATTATGTGTTGGCCTATCACTACATTCAGTGTTTCATGCAATGAATATTTTCCTTTCTCAGACTTCAGCTAAACGAAGGCAACGTAACCTAACCTACCATCTCTCCTTCTTCAAAGGGGACAGAGAATCATTGCTAAATTACTAATTAATAATTAACAAAATAAAGTTACAATGGCCAAATCAATTCAAACGTCAATGTCCCCAAAATCCACGTTTCTTCACCCAAGAATTTTACCAATTAAACAAGAATGGTACACCAGCAGGTTTCACCCTATATTGAGGTTCAGTCACGCTGAACAATTAATGCTGCAAAACCACAAACACATATTTTAAAAACTTCATAAACATAGAATGGAGAAAATTTTGGGAACCAAGAAAAGACGCTGTCTAATCATTTTTTTTCTAAGAATGAGAGACAAATACATTTCATCTGCAGCTTATTCTTGCCACCAATTTGTTCCAAATTGCAATTATGTGTTGGCCTATCACTACATTCAGTGTTTCATGCAATGAATATTTTCCTTTCTCAGACTTCAGCTAAACGAAGGCAACGTAACCTAACCTACCATCTCTCCTTCTTCAAAGGGGACAGAGAATCATTGCTAAATTACTAATTAATAATTAACAAAATAAAGTTACAATGGCCAAATCAATTCAAACGTCAATGTCCCCAAAATCCACGTTTCTTCACCCAAGAATTTTACCAATTAAACAAGAATCGAGCATAAACAGAATTAAAAAAATCTGACAAGGACAAGGTCAATGATGAAAAATCGAACCTTAAATGCATACTTAGGGTTCCCAGGCTCCTCCTTGTAAGCATCAACAATAGCCTAGTATAGTTCACATAGCAAAACCATAAATTTAAAGGAAAACCGCCATATGTAGATGCAAACTAAATACAGCTACGAATTTTTCCAAAACAAAAAAAAAAAAGAACTTCCCTAGTTAGGCTTACTTGAATATCACGATCGGCAAGAGAAAAGGGGAGAGGAGCAACTGGAGCCATCTGAGTGGTCAATTGAACATTTCCAAAGGGCAATGCCGGAGTCACAGCGGGCTGACCAAACGGAGAAGACTGCACTTGGGTGGCAGCGAACGGCGTCGAGAGACCGAAAGGGCTTGAGCTCTGAGGCGTCTGAAAGAAAGAGCTCTGCTGCGATTGCTGCTGCGAGAACGGAGTAGAGAACAGTGAGGTTCCGAAGCCGGTGCCAAACGACGGGGTGGACGGCGTTCCGAAGGCTGGGCTTGAAGATGGAGTGGCGAAGGCAGGGGTGGAAGACGGAGTGCCGAAGGCCGGGGTCGAAGAGGGGGTACCGAATGCAGGGGTTGAGGAGGGAGTCCCGAAGGGCGGGGCTGATGATGGGGTGC